ACTGGAGGGGCCCAGTGGACTAGATACTTCCCCATACTGTCCCACACACCCTGCCACTCATGACTGTCCTTTGGGGAAAATCTCCTGGTCCTCCTATATCCTTGTCTAACCGCAGACAAGGCCCAAACCCGACTCTGCTTAACTTCTGAGATCAGACAAAATGGTCGTGGGTAAAATACATTCTGTGTGTGTGCCAACATGCTGATACCCATCACAATCAGCAGGCAGGTCCCAAGGACACCCAAATGCCATTCAAAACCTTCAGAACTCTCAGTTGATGCTGCTGTACTTGTCACTGGGGCTGGTGTAGCTGCTGTGCTTGCCGGCTCTCCCACCGCCAGCTTCTCTTTTTCTGAGTCCAGTTCTTCCTCCTCTCCCTTGCTGGGAAATGCTGCGTGGTCTCCTGCATCCTCCTGGAGCTCGGCGGGCGGCTGCCGGGGAATGCTCTCGGCCGTCGCAGGGTTCGGTTCCTCCTCGGGGCTCGGCTCCTCCGCCGCCTTCTCCCGCTGCTCAGCAGCCGCCTCCTTCCTTTCCTCGGCAGCCGCCTCCTTCCGCTCCTCGACCGCCCCGACCTCCTCCACCGGCAGCCGTCCCCTCGCGGCCTCCGGCTCCGCTCCCGCCGCCGCTTGGTCCCCGGGGCCGCTCTCCCGGGCCGCTTCAGCAGCCGCCGGCTCCCGGGGCCGTTCCCCCTCGGCTCCCCGCATCCTCACGAAGACGGAGGCGAGGACGAGGGCCAGGACGGTGAAGAGCAGCCGGACGGCCAGGTACAAGTCCACGGCCACGTCCGTCCCGCCCTGCTGCTGGAGCCCGCCCGTATTACAAGCCATTGCCATAAAGCACAGTGAGACAAGAACCTTAGCCCAAGCCCCACACTTGGTAAACACTAACACAGCAAATACCGGCTCTACGTAAGTTACAACGGTCTGAAGCTGTGAGATCAACAAGAACAACTCTGAGAGCCAATAAATCAGCATTGTGACGAGTGACTATAAATCCGGTCAGATCTGTCGTTATCTCAACCCCTCGTGCCCCACGTTGGGCGCCAAAAAGGACTGTCCTGGTTTAAACCCAGTCAGGTAACTCGTTAACTCACCCCCCCTCCCCCCTTCTTTCTCTCCCCCTGCTCTCGGAGGGATGGAGAGGAGAATCGAAAAGAGTGCAACTCCCACGGGTTGAGATAAGAACAGTTTAGTAACTAAGGTATAACACAAATCACTACTGCTACCACCAACAATAATAATGATAAAGGAAATAACAAGGGAAGAGAATACATCACCTCAGCACCAGCCGACCGATAACATGCCCCCCCCCAGCCCGACCAAGCACCGACCCATACCTCCTCCAACCCTGCAGTCTACCAGCCCTTCTGGGTAACTCCCAGTTACATCCTGGGCATGACGTGCTGTGGTATGGAATACCTCTTTGGTCAGTTTGGGTCAGGTGTCCTGTCTCTGCTTTCTCCTGGCTTCCCCTCCTCCCTGGCAGAGCATGAGGCTCACAAAGTCCTTGGCCAAACCAAAACATCATTGTTATCAGCTCTGTTCCTGAGCTGAAAGTCAAAACACAGCACTGCACCAGCTACCAAGAAGGAGAAAAATGACTGCTACTGCTGAACCCAGGACAATTGGAAACAGAATAAATTAACAATTCCTTTATCTTTCACCGGGTTCAGATTCTTTACATTTGTTGAAAATGCAACATAACTTCAAATGAGTTAGTGCATTATCTCTGGTACCTCTTGGTGTTTGCACTTCTTGTTTGTTAACTGGAAGTAGTGTATTACGCAGTTGTGTTGAAAGTGAAGCCCATTTGATCTTAGGCTGTAAAATCTTGATACTGAATGAAGTTTTATTTTCACTGCAAATGAAGTAAAATAAAATACCAATCAGTAACGATGATCCGGCTGCAGGAAAGATAACATTTTATGTAGAATGAAGGCTCTGTTCTTGTGAGATGTTTAGACCTCTTCCCATTAAAGTTAATGAAAACACATACACCTCCTGGGTAAAGCAACTCATGGTTAAAACCGTTGTCTGCTTATTTATTGTACAGCTTCCATTATAGAGCATTCTTGCTTATCAGCCTTATCGTCGTAAAAAAGCCACCAAACCCCAGAAACGAATGTACAACTGTATTCCAATAAGAAAACAACTCCACGACTTCCAGAAGAGGAAAAATGGAGTTTTAAATAGTATTTCAGTCTGAAGCAGAGAGCCTGTCTAGGCTATTAATGCTTGGTACAGGTAAGTTTAGTGCCTAGGTGGAAGTGCTGTGGCTGAGTAGGAGGGAGTGGGTTAATACAACTGTGCTGTGCCAAGCCTTTTGCTGCAAATGGAGCATCTCTGTGCACTGTTCCAACTTGTCAGGAGGAGGAATGTGGATGTTGAGACTGTTATTACAGGGTCTTCTGAAATCCTTATGCAGGTAGTCTCAGAGTCTTGCTTAAAAGGCTGTCTAAAATGTTCAGGATTGTGAAATTGTCATCGCTGTCCTGAGATTCTAAAGCCTGTAGCTCATTGTGTTAGGATATGTATTAATTGCTCATGCAATTCATGTTGTAAATGGTCTTAATGTATTTCAGAAAAGTGCATTTAGAATTGTCTGTCCTTAGTCCTGAATGACAGAAGGGTGTTTGGACAATTTAAAATTGTGTTACACAGACCAACTGCTTATTTACTTCAACAAATAATCGAATAAATATGTAAATCTTGCGTGATTAATTGGCCTCCACAGATTTATGATTTTTTTTTGGTGTGTACATGAACTGTGGTTTGTTTTTTCTCTAGACAAAACATTAGCAGAAATTTGAACTTGTTGCTGAGGCTTGAACAAAGGCTTAGTACTGAAATGAAAATCTGATGATCCCTTTTTTAAAGAGAATAAAAGCTGGAATTCTTCATGATGAGAAATGCAGTATCAACATAATCAATCTAGCAGCATTGCGTTGTAGCTGAAAACGTGCTTAAATCCCAAGCCATACAGGTGCTGTTTGTGAGTGAAACATCTTTCATATAGTTCTAAGATGAAATTACCCCTGAATGAATAGCATCTTCATTTATCTTCAAAACCTCTGTGCTACCTGCGAATCTACTCTTTCTGCATTCTACAAGAATTACATTATACCATTAAAGCAGTGTTGTGCTGCAGTGTAAAATAGATTGTTTTGGAGAATGAACGTGGCTTTGCTATAAATTACGTTCACAGGTACAAAGGAATTTGTTATTTTGTTTAAAATAGTCACAAATATAATTAAGCTCTTAATTTATGTTAAACTACACATGTGGCCATTACCATAACTGGATTAGGAATTTAATCTGTCACTCAAAGAGTGATACTGAACAGTTTTCATTTATAACCTTAGACACACTATTTCAGTTACAGGGTCTGCAGCTGTTTGATATGAAAACTGAATTATTCTGTAGATTTGTTCATGGTTTTTAATTTTAAAATGTGTTCCTGCAATAAAGTAGAGAATAACTCTTTAGTTGTCATCACATATTTTCCTTTGTATGCTCATGAAATAATGTAAAAATGAAAACAGAAAATGCCTTTCACTCATTCTTACAGCAGTATTGTGTGAGTGCTTTTAGAAGTGCTGCTGAGTCAGACATGGCTTGGAATGGCTCACCCTTTATTAAAAACTAAGCATGAATATATCTGCTTCAAATGAAGCCTGGAGTGTGCCATCTGAAAATAGTGTTCCTCATGTGGGAACGTAAGTTGTGAGCTATTTGAGTCTAGGCATAAGTAATTTCATTCTTGCCTCTATCTCAGATACTGCAATGTGGATATGATTTACATTAAGTTGTAACTAATTTTTAATAAGTATATGTGTTTGCTCATATGTATTATTCTGAGAGGGAACTGGAGGGGAAGAGGAGAGCATTGTGGTGGAACTCTGACAGGGTGATTCACTGCCCACTGTCTGTTACGTTTCCTATTGATGGTGTCCAAACAGGGAGGGGAGGGCAAAGGGGAAGAGAAAGCAAGAGTAAAAATGGCATCTAAAACAATTAACTGTAGGAAAAAATAGAAAACTCCTCCCTCCCTTTTCTTACTCCTTTCCATTGTATTTCATGCATAGTAATTTTCCATCCTTGTCATCATAGAAAGACACAATGGCATCCCTTTCTTGTATTGTTTCAAGGGCGGCAGCAGCAGCAGAGATGAGAATGTCAGTTGCGTGAGAAGAGGATGGAGAGGGTGCCATTTATTGAGAAGAGGATGGGGAGTTGTCCTGTGCCTGGCTGGGGTTTCTGGGCTTTGGGCTTTTGAACTGTGCTAAAGCAGCACAAAGATGATTGCTGTGATTATTTTTTTTTTTTTTAGGTAATTGGAATCTAACCTATTACCTACATTTTGAATTTGAAATTGGGCAGGCTATAGGAAGACAAACAAGCCTTAAGCTGATATTGTCCTTTAAGCAATGCTGTTGTAAATGTATTCTCTATCTCTGGCAGGTGTCACCTGCAATGATTGAAGTGAATGATAGGTATACGATTGTTGCCTAATTTTATAACTAGTGTCACCTCAAAGCTTCCTATCAACCCTTTCATATAGCTTCTGATACTTCATTTTCACAGAGCAAAACATATGAACTGGTTTGTTCTGCACTGACTTTGAGAACAAAGTGGCTCATGCTACTTGCTGGGAGGAGAAGGCAGGGCAGTGCAAGACATAGGCATGTGTGGATCAATGTGCAGTAGGACAGAAAAGGCACCGAGAGGCGTCTCCATGCTTTTTCTTCAGTTTGTTTTTCTTCCTCCATGGCTCTTTCTGTCCTAGTCTGTAATGGTAAATATTGGGAGGGCAGGGAAGGGCAGGCATAATTCATGTGGCACATACTTTTTGCCCTCTGTTCTGTTTTTCCTCATGGACTTGCAGCAACTCTCCACCTCCCTGTTAGAGGAAGGTCTTCCATTAAAAACAAGATGTACAAAGGCAGTAGCAACTTTTTAGACTTGATGCTTTCAGTCTTGAAGAAGAGAAGAAGTTCACTTCACAAGTGCCAGAAGTGTAGGTAATGATACAGGTAGAGAGGCTGGAAGAGTGTGAGAGGGAAGACAGCCTGCAGGGAAGCAAGACAGAGAGCATAAGTGGGAGAGAAGCTGACAGACCCTACTAAGCAGGATCTTTATTTTTAATGCCTTTATCTGTTTCTTACATTAACTTCATCCAAAGAAAGGACACACTTTGTTCCAGAAATAACTTAGAGAAAAGTATTTGTAGCAGACATGATATTAAACAGAAGTTACTAAACTGGACAGTTTTCCAGGCATCTGCTTCAGTCATTGACTGGTGCTGATACTGCACAAGAGATTAGGACCCTGTTTTCAAAATGACAGAAATGCAAATAATCAGTGGAATATATAGATAAAGGAAGCACTCCTGCTGATGTGAGGGGAATAAACTCAGTTCTTCACAATCTGAGATTTCATTAACCTTGTTTTATGCTGCATTAACTAGTATAAGCCATGAAATTACGTATTCCGTTTGAAAGCCTAAGCGTTTTGGTTTGACGTCCTTCAGTTGTAGTGAATTCTGTATATTTACGCTTGAACTAAGTTTTCTTTATTTGTGTAAAGTGTGTTGGGCAGTCATCTCTTGATCTTCTGTAACATGGGCAAGGGGAAAGAAGAATGTTAATCCCTTCTCTTTATGAATTGATACATATAGTTAACTCTTTGGGTAGGTGGTAAGCATACCCCCCCCCCCCCCCCCCCCCAAGTTTATGCTTTCCTGAAGGAATTTAGTTCTTTCCCTGCTTCGAGTTTATTTGAAAGAGTTGTTTTCAGAGTATCGATAAACATTTTCAGTGAGCATCCTTACAGTTACCTTGGACAAAGGAACTTTATCTAAAGTAATGTGTACCAGTTTTACTACAGGCATGAGAGCCAATACCCTCCACCCCCATTCTGAAGAACTGCAACTGCCGTAGTATTATTGCGTGAGAATCCCAGGTGCTGGAATGGATCCAAGTTGTGGCCAGCTAAAGTCACCCTGTTCATTCTCTGGTAGTACATTTTTATTTCCAGAGGAGAAAGAGCAGGAAGTTTAATACTGTTCTTTGGAATGAAAAGCACCTTTGAAAGGCTGTGCTCAGTTAAGTGTTTTATTTGTAATTTTCCTGTTACTTTCTTATCATTTTTAAGTGAATTTTCACAAGGGTTTGATTTTGTGTCACTTGGAATTCAGTTGGCCCCTTTCAGTCCCTTTTTAAGTTGATCAGCCAGATTTATGATGTTAACAACAATCTCTGATGTGCAAGAATAAGCCTGGACTTATTCTTTCAGATCTTTCAGATTGCTCAGCTTTTGATGCTGTGTCTTTGAAGGGGTGTTGATATCTTAATAAATTTCAGCAGAACTGCACTGGGGTGGTTTCAGACTTCAATCTCTCACCCTGCACTCCAAAAGCACTCAGAGGAGCTGAGCTCACTCCCTTTAGCTTATGGTTTCTCTCACAAGAAAAGCAAGGGTTTACTTGTCTGCTGAAATTATATGTGTGAGGTACCCAAAGGGAAATGAGATGCTCTGAGCTGGAATAATCAGTGTTCCACCACATCTTTTGGCAGAGTCGGAAGACATTGCGGTCTGATACCATCTGCACACCAAATGTGCTGGTTCCTTACATTCTACATGAGAATTCAAAAAGAGAGCAAATCCTCCCTTGATCATTAGACTAAAGCATTAAATGAGATAGACTCACAAAAATTGCTGCTTTGGCCTGTTATCTTTAATATTGCTTTGATCTGTGCCAATTTCAACTATTTTGGTAATAGTTCATGCCACTTTCTGTTGAACATCAGTTATCTAAAATCTAATTTATGTAGTTTGAATGTATCAGAAAATAAGATACAAGTTTTCTGGTGCTAGATGTTTTTAAGAATGCATTGGTCATGATTCTTGTCTATCTCTTTTCCTAAAAGAAACCGTAATTTCCATAAATACGAAATGCATTCACTGTGCTCTAAAACTCAAATACCTGTGTTGTTAATACTGATAATTGCCAAAGCCTGTTAGTTCAGTGAAAGCATGTAAGCTCTCTCATAGCAATGCAAATTGAAAGGCTTATTTCTTAGGTTGAGCCCTTGTGGTTTGAGGTAGTACTGTCTCCTTTTGTCAGTTGACATGTATTTTTAGCTAACTTGAAGGCTATACAGTGGACCATTAGCTTAAGCTGAATCAAGAAATTGATACTGGCCTACTTCTCTAGGTAAAGATTAGTTCAGCAGTGTGGATCCAATAAGGGCTGAACTTCTCTCATACTGTGGAGCTTTCCTTTGTTTTTCTGCAGAATGATATGTAAATTAAAATTTAATAGGATACAAATTACAGCATGACGTATTGGTCTTTTAATTCCCTGGGCTTCTGTCTTTTTAAACATGTGATAGCAGGATTGTATTTTTTTTGAAAAAAGGTTTATTGTATAGCATTACATGATTTTTGTCTTCAACTCTTTCATTATTCAGTTTCATCTTGTTTTTGAATTTCATTACTATTTCACTACTCATCTTAAAGTCAATCCTAAATATGGACAAAGTCTGAAGTGGAATAGGTGTTCACATGTTGAAGTTAGTTCCTGGAACAGGCCTCATAAGGCTGCTGCAGAGGCAGCTGCAATGGTCAGTGTTTGTGAACCTTGCGGGACTGCTGGTGTGAATGCAGAACTGGATGGACATGCTCAGTTTTAATCTTGAATCACTCTTCAGTTTCTCAAGCTCAGCCCTGGTCATCAGTTTCATTAGTTTCATTAGAACTGAAGATGACTATTCCAAGGAAGTTTCCTCAGGTTTTTGGTTTGGTGTTTACTTCGGGGTCTGTATTTTTTTTATATTTTTTTTAACCCCACTGAAGGTAGAATGACTTATTTCTAAGCTTACCAGAATCTGCACTTTATTATACAGAATAGTGAGCATTTTTATTTAGTTAATATTTGTTCCCACATTAGAGCTCAATTCTAGTTCAGACTTCTCTCTCCTCTTTTTATTTTTATTACAAAGTGCAAAAAAGGCACATGGACACAGTGTGTTTGCATTTCTGAGATGCCAAAATGGCAACGTATTCTCAATCCTCTTTGCACTAGGCCAGAGGCTGAAGTGGAATTTTCCTGCCAAGTGTAATAAAGGTTCATATTCATTGGTCTGTGGATATTTACTGAGAAGAAGGAGGGAGATAAAGTTCAGATTCAGATTTTTGATGGAAACTTGGCCGAACTCTTTACACTGAAAAGATTCTATTTATAGTTCAGTCTCTATGCTGAGGACTGTTTTTGGTAGAAACCTTGTACTGTGTAGGAGCCAATATATGATGTGATGTACAGTAGGCAACAATTTGCTCAAGCAGCTCATGTAACTTCAGTTTTCTGTGCCAGTGTGTCTTATTTCTGATATGTTGATATGAAAAAGTAAAAATTGTGATCTGTTGACTCACCTCCTTTTGCTTAACTGTGTCTCTGCACTTCCAAGCTTTTCAGTTATTTGTGTGTTGCCCTAACTCCAGTGCAGTTCAGACTTCTGAACTTGCAGTGAGAATAGTACATGACAGTTAAAAATTAATCTCTAGCTTAATGCAGAATTTCAGAGTTAATTTAGTGCCTTACTGTGAAAGAAATTCACTCAGTCTAGACCAAATGGAATTTCACATATTTTTGAGATGAAATTGAACAGCTAAATATTAAGTAGTATGGTTGAATTTTGCTGTACTCCTCTTACCCAAAGGTGAGATTCTTAAGACCTGTTGTTTGATGCCATCAGTTCCACAGCACAGTACTGTTGAGATGATTCTGTTAGCTACTGGTGGAGCCTTCAGAAGAACAGAGTCTTTGTACTAGTTAAATTAGGGTGTATATTTTTGGTGGGTTAGATTGTGTCCAGGAATGTCAAGGGAGCATTTACTCTAAACCAAGTTTCTGCATTTTTGTCCATCTATTTCTAAAGAAGTTGCGTATGAAGCCCCAGTTTGAGCAGAAGACATGATGGAACAGCCTGGACATTGCTAGGTCTGGAGGCCATCAGACAAAGGAAGACATATAAGACTGACAGACCAATTCCTTAAATTCCATTAAAGAATTAGTCTTTTGGGTACTATTACAGTTTGCATGGACTTTGGGATGCTAAGACAGGAAGAGCCTCAATTTTTGGTGGACTCTGATGGGCTCTCAAACTTAAAATGCGTGGTGATGTCCAATCTGGCTAGTGCTTTGTATTTTCTTTAGGTGATAGTTGCACCTTTAAGCAGTAATAGAGGTTCTAGTTGGGGTGAAGCATACTAGAGACCAATTTATTGGTAAATAGTGCAGGACCTGCAATATATGGCTTATGTTGACCATGACTGGTACCCTCTCTTTGTGTGTCTGTCTATATGTCTCTCTGTCTGCATGTATATGTAAAGTAATTGGCTCTTAAAGTTAGGCTAAGGAAATCAAAAGCTGTATAAATCCAGGTTTCCAGGGGATTTTGCAGAGCCTCCACAGTTCGGAGGTGGCTTCTTGTCAGCCATCATCAATGTCTTGTGTAGTAGCTTGTCATCCTAGTTCCTTGCTTTAAACTGGGATTTGGATTTGAGTTAGGTCATCTAAACCTGCAAGAGCCAATGTTGTAAAGCACAATGCAGTTCTTGGATTTTTTTTGGAAAAGGAACAAAGCTTCTGGCTTTTTTGCCCAGATTGGGTTGAGGTTTGGGTACAGATGACTTGGAGAGCAGGAGAGAGGGGAGGGCTGTTTGGGTTATTTTTGTTTGTTTGATGGATACTGGCAGAAGCCCCAAAGTTAGGAACAGGGCTGATACCAGTGTTAGTTCTTGCCTTATGGTCTCATTTAGTGCAGAGGTAAGCAGTCTCAAGGTTAAGGTTTAGGTTACTTTGATGTCTCTGATTAGGGTCTGAGCATCTAAAACTGAGAGAGTGCAATTTACTGCCAGGTCCAGCAATCAGAAGAGGTAGGAGGAGGCTCAAGTAGAAAGTGCTGTGTTGCAGCAGCATTTTTCTTCATGATGGTAGCCTTCTTGGTTTAGGCTTTTTTCACCTCAAGCCACTGTGGATAAACAGGTATAATTTTGGAATCTGGAATTGTGACCTGTCTAATTGCAAATTAAAAATGATTGCTAGGACTTAGCCGAGATGACCTGTGAGAGACTCGAGAAATTAAGAGGTTCCTTATTTGCCATGTTCTGCCCAAATTACAAATATTTTTCTTGATATTTTGGTATTCAACAGAAACATACTAAGGATTTTGTGGTGGTGGCAGGTGCTGACAAAAATTGGTATCCTACTGAGAATGCTTTGAATCTAAGTTTACAGGTAGAAACAGTAAATTGATCACTTATGCTGTCTGTGATTCACATAAGTTAAAGATAGTAAATACTTCCTCCCAAAGCAGACTTGTGCTCTGACAGTAGAGCACGTAGAGCAAAACCTCTGCTAGCAACTGTAAATACAATCATAGAATGGTTTGTGATGGAAGGGACCTTAAAGGTCACCCGATTCCAACCCCCCTGACATGGGCAGGGACACCTTCCACTAGACCAGGTTGCTCAAAGCCCCATCCCAGCCTTCCAGGGGTGGGGCATTCACAACTTCTCTGGGCAACCTGTTCCAGTGCCTCACCTCCCTTACAGTAAAGATTTTTTTTTCCTCATGTCTAAATCTACCCTTTTCTAGTTTAAAGCTATTACCCCTTGTCCTGCCATGTAATGTTGGATGGTGCTGTATGTGCTTGCTGTTACAGAACATGAACTTTGTTAGCCAGCTTTAGCCAGGAGAAATAACTATTATTCTTTTCAGGAGGGTTAAAATATCACTTAATTTTATACAGCCACAGCATCTAATTGTGTCTGTCAGATACCGGTTCTTTGCTCATCTTGAAAAAAACAGTAACAGTAGATGAAACTTCATTTGAAGAATTCCAGTCAATGACTGGATAAGAAACAGTGGTCTAAGAAAGTAAAAAAAAAACCTTGTTTTTATTTTACCTACCCTTTTTTCTTCCTAAAAGTAGTATGCAAGGATCTATACTTTGTAAGCGTGTGCTAAGAGCTACCTAAAACTAAGAGAAATGTATTGAGAACACATTTGTTTGTCACTGGTGTATTAATACTTTTTAAATGTGACTCTTTGTTTCCAGGCCTTTTTACAAATGTGCAATCTGCCAATCCGGGTGGTTTGCAGGGCAAATGCCGAGTACATGTCCCCATCTGGTAAGTGTGGCCTTCATTTAGATTACTATGTTATACCTCCATTTTGATGCCATGGCAACTACGCCTTGTCTTGCTGATAACAGTCGGTCAGTGCTCCTGTGTGTGGGTTGCCTTCCCCCCTCCTCTCCAGTGCGGTTTCTCCTCTGCAAACAGTTAAACCAGTCAAATGCAAAGTAACGCTGGCACAATGTATAACTGCCCTGTGGATGCAGTACCTATATAGAATGCTCGGACAGTTCAAATGCCTGGTGGAAACCTCTCAAGTGCCTGAGGGTGGTTGAATTCTAAAGCAGAAAAACATATGTTTCCAAAAGTGGCTTTATTCTGCATCCAGGGAATATTCCAGTAAATGCTGTTATGTCTTCCCGTTGCTGGGGTGAGACAATGTTATAGAAAGATGATCTTTTTCTACCCTCTCTGGGAGATGATTGCCAGGATGTTGATACAGAAGAAGACTGAAGGGTGCACTGTCATTGTTAGGGGTGACAGGCAATTTTAAATCATCCGCTGATCCATGAGACTCTGGAAAAAATCCAAACCCACCAACAGTAAATTATTAGAAAGGTGACTGGTTGCCTGAAAACATCAGAGGCTGGCCTCAGAAGGTTGCCTGATGATCAGAGTTGCTGAATGCGGGGCAAAATGTCTGGCAATCCTTGCACCCTGTCCTGGATTTTTGTTGTCTGAGAGAGGTTTTTATTTACCTGGTACCTGGCTTTGGCTGATGACTGCCACATGGAAGTGCCTGTCAGTATATGTCTCCCAGCTGCATGGGTTCTGTTGCTGCTACTGATACTTTGGTCAAAGCAGTGAAATTATGCGATTTATAAAAAAAACCAAGTTGGTTGGTAGCAGTGAAAAAACAGCAAAATATGGAGATACATGAATTGTTTGTTAGTAAATAAAGGTAGCTTTGAAACACTGAATCCATGCATAGAGGAGCCTCTTATGTGCACAGAGGAGTGTCTTGCATGTGCAGGAGGACTGGTGACAGTTGCATGCTATTACTTCTCTGCCACTTGCACCCTTGTCCACACTTGCTGGTATCTGATGTAATTTGGGTCTGAACACTTCCTTCTTCTGCTGAAAACAAGGAGCACAAGAGGGAAAACGATGCTGCTTCAGGTTTAAATGCAGGTAGAAATACATGTGTTCTTTTTGCCCTTATTCCTGCAGTCATTATTTTTATTACTATTTTTATTCACTTGCCCCATTTGCTTTCTTTATATTGGTCCTTTAACAATAATTCAGACATGATTTTAATTTGTTCCCTTCTCCCTCCTTAGTACCTTGTCTCACAGCAGCAGCAGAGAGAGATCTGCATCTCACCGTTTTGTGGGGGAAGGTTATTTATGTCATAGTCATTGTAATGACAAAACCCATTCTGAGGGATTTAGGAGTATGATCTTGGTGTGTGAAGCACAGTCTGGTTTAAAACACTGAATTCTGAAGCACAAAGGGGTCTGTGTTTCCTTCCGCAACATGCAGCATGTGCATGCAGATGAAGCCTTTGTTGGTGTGATGAACTTCATTTATTGCCCTTAGGCTGATAGAGCCAGTGAGAAGTGAATCTCATGATTAAGACCATGACTGAATCTGCTATTAACATGAACAGTGTTTGAGCTAAGCTGAGCAGTAGGTTGTGTTTCAGTGAAAAGAGTGAATGTATTGATAATAACATGTTTGGAGTCAGGTGGGTGCTGATCTTGTTCTTTGGGCTGCCTCTTGAGAGCAGTTTGCCCACAGTGAGACGTGGGCAAAGTAAAGTAAAAGGGTTCTCTGCCCCACTGCACTGTGCAGACTTATTTACTGCTTTTGGGCTTGGGGATTGTCGTGGTTTAAACCCAGTCAGGTAATTCGTTCGCTCACTTCCCCCTCTTTTCTTGCCCTCCCCCTGCTCTCGGAGGGACGGAGAGGAGAATCGAAAAGAATGCAACTCCCACGGGTTGAGATAAGAACAGTTTAGTAACTAAGGTATAACACAAATCACTACTGCTACCACCAATGATAATAATGATAAGAATAACAAGGGAAGAGAATACATCATCTCACCACCAGCCGACTGATAACTCGCCCCCCCCCCAGCCTGACCAAGCTCTGACCGATACCTCCTCCAGCCCCTGCAGACTCCCAGCCCTTCCGGCTAACTCCCAGTTACATCCTGGGCATGACGTGCTGTGGTATGGAATACCTCTTTGGTCAGTTTGGGTCAGGTGTCCTGTCTCTGTTTCCTCCTGGCTTCCCCTCCTCCCTGGCAGAGCATGAGGCTCACAAAGTCCTTGGCCAAACCAAAACATCCTTGTTATCAGCTGTGTTCCCGAGCTGAAAGTCAAAACACTGCACTACACCAGCTACCAAGAAGGAGAAAAATGACTGCTACTGCTGAACCCAGGACAGGATTTTTTCAGTAATACAAAACATCCAGCATTTTATGGATTATTTCAGGCATGTAAATAATCGTAAAGGATTTAGTCTTAAATATAAGGTTGATGTTTATCAATTGCACTTGGATGAAGATTTGCAGGACAGATAACCTGGTTAGGGTGGATTGGAGCAGGAGCCCTCAGCTTCACACCCTGAGAGCTGGGAAAAGGGGTATGAGGCAGCTTCTGGGCTTGCTGTGTGTAACAGGGCCTCTTCCTCTTGTATCTCTGCTTGCCTTAAAGCTTTAGCTCAGTTCTGCATGTAGGGAAGGTTACTAGGCATGCAGAGTTGGGAGCCCTTCACACCCTGACAGGTTCCATCAGTGATACAATTATTTCCCAGTCTCCTTTTCAGGACTGGCCATTTTTATCCCTGCTCCATGCTGGACCCTGTGGGCTAAGCTTCATAGTCTGAATGTTGAGCCTTACTAGGGTTAAGTTTTAACCCCATTTTACTTCCATGATGATGAAGCACCTCCTTACCCCTCCCAGCTCCCCAGATTGTGAAGCTGTGGGTCTCATACTGAGAACCTCTTCCTGACCGCAGGACCATGGGGCTAGAAAATGCCAGCTCACAACTGGAGAGTGAAGATTAGGGCAGCCAGTAGGAGCCAGCTGGCCCAGTTGTTGGAAATCTGAAGGACTGGAGGAGGGAGAGTCAAGACCCTTCCTTGCTGAGTGTGTGCTTGCACTTCCCCCTGCTTGCATTCCTGGGCACAGTGCCACATCTCCCGTCATCTTTTCAGCAGCCTTTTCCCCTCAAGTGGGTTAGAAGGGAGGGTGGGAACATGTTGTGTCGTAAAGCTAGCCAAAGGCTCTGTCTGCTTTCCTGGGATTTCCCAGCTGTACTTCAGAGAAACATTGAAGTAAGTCTTTCCAGCAAAGCAAAATCCATTATTAAAATACAAGTAGATAGATTTCACTCAATAACTTTGAAATACACAATTGCAAGTATTATGTGTAGAGGAGGTTCAGAAAGAAGAGGATGTTTGTTATTACAATGTTCTCTGGGTGAGCTATGCATGCTAGAGCTTTGCATGTGCTCATTTGAAAGAAACAAAACCCTGCTGATGTTCAGGGGTACCTACAATATTTAATTGCTTTGAAAATTGTAAATGATGTTTTACAGGTATAAAAGGCTCTTACTTAAAATACATTTCTCATTTTACAGGCAAAGTACCCTTTATTCATGTGGGAAATCAAGTAGTATCTGAACTTGGGCCCATAGTCCAGTTTGTAAAAGCCAAGGTAATAGTATGTTGTTTCTATCAATTAGTGAATAGCATGTTAATCCTATTTAGCTTTGTGCTGATTTGGTGGTCTCTTCTGTAATGCTTCTTAAAAGAAAGATATGCTGGAGTAGGAGTTTGTTAAGGTGGAAATGTTTTTCTTTGTCATTTACTCAAATTCTGGAAGTAAATTCTATGCAGCATAGCTGTATACCAGTGCTGGTCTCTGGGACTGTTCTGTCCCTGGGTCGTGGAGCTCGTAAGCCCAGAGCTGACTGGTTTAGATCCTGAAATGTCAGATACCTGTCCAGATTTGCCTTTACTTCCCCTATATTTTAAAAACTACTGTATTTTCACTGAGCAGTTGGTAAAGCTGTATCACGGATATGAGTTTGGGTTTACTCCTTGCCACAGATACACACTAACGAGGAAGCTGTGTGCTCAAACTGTTTTCACCTATAACTGATAATAGGCTATATTTCTTGCAGATTAGCTATGTTATGTTATGATGATTTCTTTTTAATTCTTAAGGATGTGTGTAAAAATTGCATATGTAATTTGTTACTGAACTACGTAAGAGATCGGGTTCTGAGCCAAAGCTCATTGACTTAAGAAGTCCTTGGGTCAGGCATTGCTGAATATACCAATATCCTTTCTTCCATGTGTGTCTTTTTTTTTTTCCTCTTTTCCCCATTAGGGCCATTCTCTCAGTGATGGATTGGATGAAGTCCAGAAAGCCGAGATGAAAGCCTACATGGAATTAGTCAATAATATGCTCTTGACAGCAGAGGTACAGCAAACCATAGTAACTCCACATGCTTACATAAGTAACTATAGGCAAGAAAGCTTTAGGACGTTTTCCTATATTGGAAATACTTCTTGTTCTTAGATTAGGTTGTTAACTTTTGAGGAGAAAGGAGGCAGGAATAAATTCTCTGTGTGCTATGGGTTGCTTGCTGAATGAAATGTTCTTGTAGACACAAGCCAAATGTATAATCTCCTCACC